ACACACACACACACACACACACACACACACACACACACACACACGCACAAACACACACCAACCAGGGAGGAAGATGAATGAAGTTGCCGAACATGGAGGCAAACTGCATCGTCGACGGGCCTGGGTACTGGGCGAAGTTGCCCACCCGGTATGGAGACAGACCGGGTAAACAGGGTGCAGGCCCAGGCCCCAATGATGCGGTCCAGATTGCAAATTTGCACGTAGGCCTGACAGGGGCGAAACGCAAAGAATTAGGCCCAAAAGGGCATTCCGCTCTACCCACATCTTTTAGGGGCATTTTGGCATATATCTCAACTTATAGGGGTACTTCGCAAATTATCCCTTTTTTTATTTTTTTATTTTCTTTCCAAAACCAATCTATATTCTTCTCTCAATCTATCTATGTATATTTTTCTGCATCTATCTCATCGTCTCACTACTCTATGTATAGTACGGGGGAAAACCAACCAAACCTGGAACTCTCCCCAGCCCACTGGGTGGGTTTGGGGTAGGGGAAGGTGCATGTGACTGGCCAAATTTCCCCCGTCGACAATGCCTGATCACCCTGCATCATCGTGATGAGGGGCTGATACAAGCCTTGCTCTCTTATCACCCTGCATCATCGTGATGAGTGGCTGATACAAGCCTGGCTCTCGCACCACTGCTGTGGTGCAATTCTTTAGCCCCCACCCCCCCACACACCGGCGGCCCCACCCTACTCCCTGACCACCACCGACTATGGCAGGGGGGGAACGTGCATCCCCTTAATTGTGAGAGGAGCTATGCTTGCATTGGTCCCCTGTATAGGCTTTTAGGAGTAGCGGTATGTAAGTAGTGAAAGGTGAAATTGAGAGGCGAATATAGCTTAGTTTTTCAAAATAAAAGTTGAATTATTTTGTGCTGTTTATTCTGATCATGTCTGGATTCGAATTTGGGTTAGTATTTCAGCAGTTCAAGGGTGTACCAACTGATCTACCCTCTTCCCCCAAGCACAACACATGGGTGTTGTAAACGAACACAACACATAGGTTGTTTTTTATTTGAATACAACGCACAACAGTCCTAATGTTCGAATACAAGGCATATTTCTTCAAAAACTCGAATACAATGCATTTGCATCATGTTCGGGGGAAAAAGGTAAGCTCATTGGTGTAGTCTGGAAATTCACACTTTGACTAGTCTA